GCAGCAACGTTAAGAGTATACACCTGATGATGGCTGATAGAGGCCGAAACATGTAGTGTAGAAAGAACAAGATCAAAGACATATAAATGTATATTGTTTGCACTTAGGACGGAGTTTGTATCATTTATTGTTGTTAAGAGTTCCAAGCACTAGACATGACACATGAATGGCAAGCGCTGACATATCATTGCTAACTGCGCGTTCTGGTATGCAAGTGTATGGGGCTAACNTTACAGGATGATACACTTAAAGAATAGAACAAATTTTGCTGCAGTCTAAATTCAATCAAGACTTTCATTTGTTGAATCAATTGAAGCATTTCATTTCCTGGACATTTACTTATTACAGTCAACAGTACGAGTCAAGAATAAAATGGTCTTGTCATGATATACACAAATATACAAGATTTAAAGTTTTCACAGAAAATAAGTGCCTTAAAATCTTCTTGGGCAGTCAGTCATGTCACCTTTTAGTTAAAAACCAAAATTTCAGAGTTCTGTCCTAGCTCCATGATCAGAGTCAATAATGTAGATCTCTGGAACCATTCTTAACTCAATATTAATATGGCTGATCACCTGAGAAGATTTTGGTCCACACACTTCAGTGTGTGATGAAAAATGACATAATCAAACTGATCATGCCTCAATAAATAAAACAGCACCCATGTACAGGGTGATTCTAAATTATTGTCCAGGGTTTCTGTGGCCTATAAACAGAAACACTGACAATAATTTGAATCATCCTGTATAACTGATGCCAACCTTTTTATGAGCCGACTGTGATACGCTTTCATTTACTATGTAAAGAAAAGGAATGTTTTCATGTTAAACATTGGGCCTCACTCTACTAACTGATGAGGAACTTCGGGAACATATCAGGTTAAATAAAATCTCAAATAATTTTATTATAATGGACAATGTGACTGACTAGAAGAGTTGAAGTATACAGAGATACCGATACTTGAGCCCAGTTGTGTAGGTTATTATTACATGTTACAGCAGGAGCTAAGCATATGTTGCTGCCTCATCACCAAAACGCAGGGCAAATTCGCGACATAAAGAGAGGTAACAAATGTTCTGAAAATGTGGCACACTTCAGATATTTGGGAGTAACTATAACAAATGAAATCCTGATTCAGGCAGAAAATAAGAGGAGACTGAACTCGGCTACCATTCAGTTCAGAACTGTTTGTCTTCTCATCTATTGTCTAAAAACATAAAAATTAGAATATACAAAACCATAATTTTGCCTGTGGTTCTGTACGGTTGTGAAACTTGGTCTCTGACATTAAGGGAGGAACATAAGCTGAGGGTGTTGAAGAGTATGTTTAGACTGAAGAGAGATGAAGTGACAGGAGGATGGAGAAAACTGCATAATGAGGAGCTTCATAACGTGTACTCTTCTCCAAGTACAATTAGAATGATCAAGTCAAGGAGGATTAGGTGGGCAGGACATGTAGCACGAATGGGGGAGACGAATGCATATAGGATATTGGTGGGAAAGCCAGAAGGAAAGAGACCACTGGGAAGACCAAGGTGTATGTGGGTGGATAACATTAAAATGGATCTTAAGAGTGATAGGATGGGATGGATTGGATTGACCTGGCTCAGGATGGGGACCAGCGGAGGACTCTTGTGAACACTGTAATGAACCTTCATGTTCCATAAAATGCTGGGAAGTTCTTGAGTAGCTGCACAAGTGGTAGTTTCTCAAGAAGGGCTCAGCTCCATGAGTGACTGAGTGACAGCAGTATAAACCATGGTTTTGAGGCAGTGAGGTTGTCAATCTTCTGCACCAGCCGCCCTTTACCTCCAGGAAGATTCCTGGTACTCATTTCGACACCAGGGCTATAGTGCTGCTGGAAGGATTAGGTCTACTGAAAAATCCATGTTCAGATATACATTTGTGAAATAGCTGAGAGAAAATTAAGCATGTGATGGCACAATACACCATCTTAAAACTTTAAGAAAATCTTCAAGTCAGATGAGAATTATTATGCAACATTCTTGTTGAATTTAATACACCAATAAGACCATAAAACCTGGTTAGACTAAGTCTGTATAGGTACATTAGTATGATGCATTTTCTGTTCAGAGTAGCCTGAAGCAAGAAGATTCTTTAGCAACACTGCTTTTCAACTTTAGAATTCTCGATTATGTAGGCACAAGAAAATGAAGCATATTTGGAATAGAAAGGAGCACATCAATTTCTGATCTATGCTGATTGTCACATGAAAACATAAAACACAGTAAAACAACTAAAATATTAAAGTAAATGGTAGTACTAACATTTATATAAAAATAGACCGAAAACTTCAGTACATGTTCATGTCTAAGTACCAGAATGCAGGGCAAAATCATAACACACAGTTAGCCAAGAAATTCATATGACATATGGCAAAGTTCATATTATTTGCAATGATATACAAATTGCATTCAACAGGTAATAATAGATTATTAATGGAAAATTCAATCAGTTTGCTACCAGTAATTGTCCTGTCTTCTATCTAAAACTGTAAATTACAACACTGCAAGAGACAAACTTTCAGAAACCAAATTTTCACATGGTTTTCACCCTCCTTCAGTCTTTTACACACACAATCACAGATTCACATAGCCTCTACTGTGATCACAAATGACAATTGTAATTGCATCTGCATTAGGGAGAACGATGGGTGGTGCTAACAGTGGCTGCTGGGAGAACTAGCGTGTGGCAATTGCATATATACACACTGTAACTTTGCTTTTGAAGTAACTTTACAGTAATTTTCTCTGACACTTCTGCCAGATGCCTGAATAACCAGGAATTTATTGCACAAAATTATGATTATTCTTGCTGTTTCATGTGTGTACAAAATTTGTTCTCTCCCCCTAAGGGAACACAGACTTGAGTCAATTTGAGAATATAGTGCTGCGGATTGGGATACACACGAGAAATGGTAACAGGAGGAGAAAATTACATAGTAAGGAACTTCATAACTGGTATTCTTTAAACATTATCCGGGTGATCATATCAAGATGCAGATAAGTGAGGCATGTAATATGGACAGGGAAGAAAATAAATGTATACAAAATTTCAGCCACAACATCTGAAGCACTTGGAAGACATAGACATAAATTACAGGATAATACTAAAATGGACTGTAAACTTGGGTGCTGTGGTGTAGAATGAATGCAACTAGCTCTAGACAGGGTTGGACTCTCATGATCAAGAAAAGGCAGAGAATTTGACTGGCACATCAGCTGTCCACTTCTCAGGGACTCTGCTTCAAGGAACTTCTCCTGTGATGCATTCAGACTCTCACACCTATCTTATATTTGTTATAACACAAATTATACAACTGTTAAAACTTGTGAAGGTAGCTAAAATGAGGAATTTCATCAGACTATTGAGATATAAGTGTAATGAATGGCACATGAGTAACAGTCAATATAGTTAAAAGGTAAAGTTGTCCCTGTGCTCAATTAGTTAAGCACTATACCATAAAGACATGGAGGAGTGGAGGTATAGAAAGACACAAACATACAAGAACACTTCTATCAAGTAATTTTATCAAAATTACTCGGCATAAATCTGGAGATTCACACAGTATATATAACTTTGTTTACCAACCATAACAGCACCTAGTTTGACTACACACAAAGCCAACTTACTGATCTTGATGATAATTCCTGAATTTTTCACCTGTCTTCCAGTACTTCCTTCAGGCCATAAGCGAAGCGCTGCTCCTCCACATAACAGTGGAATCCTTGGTAGCTGTGTCAGTGCACTCCCACCTTTATGCTGGCATGATCTGGTTTCTTTAATATATGCATCGCACTTCCACTCATTTCTGATTTAAAGGTCACTAATATCTCTCAAAATACAATAATTTATTTAAAATTGAGGCATTTACTAGAAATATCATGGTGAGTACTGCAGCATGCTGGATGCCTGGGATTCGATTCCCTGCGGGGGGGAAAGGTTTTTTTTTCTCTCTCTTCTCCACAGCATCGAGACTGGCTCTGGGGCCCAACCAACTTCCTATCTTAAGGGTAGCGGGGCCTCTTTCCCTGGAGATAAAGCAGCCGGGGCATGAAGCCGACCACTCGCCAACATCTAGTGATAAAGTCAAAAATGATGCAGCTATACTTGCACTCTCCGATACGTCTTCATGGCGTGGTGATTAATTAATGATGGACAGGGAAACTTCACGTTACCACTGTTACAGAAATGACGTAATGCATTTTCAATAGCATCAGCATTTTGCATTGCCTCCCCCGAAGTTCCACCTGTTGGGCTATTTACATTTCGAATTCGGGCAAAATACAACGAAACCTCACTAACTCGCGATAATTCGGACCTTTTTTTTTTTTTCTTTTCCTGGTTTAATCATCACGCAACCACTATTAGCAACCGAAAACTGCCGCGTGTAGCGCTAGCATAGATGATCGTAGATGACGGTGCATACATGTGGGCCTCGCGGCAAGCATCATGGCTCACCCAAAATGTTCTGAAGACCTGATGTCTGTCAAAACTTACATTTTTAAATTTTATGGCTCGTAAATATATTTTAGGGTATGCGACCTAAGCTTCAAAATAACGTATTGCCTCAAAAGTCACGTGAAACTTCTGTGGGCTTTCACTAATTTGGACAAGGGTTCGCTCCGAATTACGCCGCATTTGAGGTCTTACTGTATATCCCACGAATATTAACCAGAGCTGGAAAGGGTGGTTGTGGAGGATAGACTATACTCAGTTCCAAAGTGCCTGATTTTGAATTAACTAGTTTCCAATGTCTAAAACGTCGTAACTTCCGCTACCAAGGACGATACACGTAAAAACAAATTCCTGCGTAGCATATGTCGGTTAATCCCCTGGCCTTTTCTACTGACCCTGAGCTTCTACCTAGTTGTGAAATATCATTCTCGCTCCAGCTGTAACTCAGTAGGACTGACGCAATGCGTTGAACCTATCAACCTAATCCACTGATTTCATTGCAAGTCACTTTTACACTGTGACTGATACCACTGACACCTTATCACAAATTTGATTGATCCTGATATCTTATCACAAATTACTATCTCGAATAAATTTCACTAACTCCAGAAGTACGACTACATCATCACGCTCTCCCTGTAAACTGAACATTCAAAATTAGTCTCCAGTCGTCTCCAATCAACTGTCACAATCTTCGCACTTCCTTCAATAGATGGCAGGCACAAATTATCGAAACAGATTGAAAAACTATCGACTCATACCGATATCAGGTTGCGTTACTAGGATTAAATTCAAATTTTCGGAGTAATAGAATAAGTTATATTGTTGGACGGCAGTATAAGATTATATTACGTTGGATTTGTGATTCTCACAGCGGTGACTATGATTATTACCATCATCTGGGATGTCACACCTTGTAGTCCTGTAGTTCACCGACGTTTCGGTGGTACCTATTGAGATCCAGCTACGATCTTGGATGTAAAACAAATCAGCATATAAATATTGTCACGTGTTGTCTGTGACTCAACAGATAACGTCACGCCGGTCTTGGATCTAAGGAATTTATTGCACACTTTTATCCACACTTACATAACTCATAACTTTAGTAACCCAATTACTTCTCCTGCTGTAGTCACTTCTAGGCTTCAACTGTCTTGATTCCATTCACTCGATACAACTGAACTCATCTGGTGCACTGAACCCCCTTACATAGGCCTCTTGCTGACCACACAGAAAACAACACGGACTCCACTGTTGCGTGATGTCACAGCCTAGCAGGGAGGGGTGTTTACCAAGCGTCACATAGTAACGGGATGAGTGGGGATATGTGACATCACTCGCACTTCCTGTTGCACTATCCTAACGTTCACAGAGCTGTCGCCTAGCAATGCACCGATACAATCAGCAACTCTCCCATTGCATGCATGCCCCAAGGCCTCTGTGGCTCAACAGTTCCTGTATAGAGTCAATATGTCACAATATATTAACAGACACCATGGAGCTGAGTCCTTCTTGGAAAGCTGCCAGTTGCTTAGTTCCTCAAGAATTTCCCAACATTTTATGGAGACCAAAGGTTTATAACAGTGTTCACAAGGGCCCTCCACTGGTCCCTTTCCTCAATCAGATGAATCCAGTCCACACCACCCCATCCTACTTCTCTAAGATCTATTATAATACTATCCTACCACCTACATCTGTGACTTGCTAGTGGTTTCTTTCTTTCTGGCCCAGGAAAAGCCTATATGCATCCCTCTTCTCCCCCATGTGTGTTACATGACCTGCCCACTCATTCTCCTTGACCTGATAATTGTAATTAGTGTACAAATATATACATGGTATAATAAGAAGGCCACAGTAGCACAAACACAAGACACATTTAATTTTACATTAACAAAAAGTTCCTTACAGTTATCCAACACTGAGTATTATGATTCTATTTATAAGTAACAGGCAGCTATTAACTATGTAAAGATTATATTTCAGCATCCTGCTGCATTGAGGTATAACTTAAGTCTTGTTTTCCATTCACAATGCAGCAATATTAATTTAACAACATTAATTCACTAAATGTTCGTTAATTATTTGAAATGTCATTAAAATTATTAAAATATATGTACATTTGGGATTTTCGCTACATGTTTCAGCCACATAGGGCTATCTTCAGGCAACACATCTATTAAGGGAGTGTAAATTAATGTTGTTGCATTATAGATGGAAAGCAAGACTATAAATTAACTATGTAAGGTTTACAAATTTTTCAACAGAGTAGGTGTGTGACAAACAGAATAATTTTTTTGCCAACTGGAACTGTAATCTGTTTGTGGCCAGCTTCTCAATTCATACTGGCAGCTTATTATAAAATTTAATTTCCACATAATATACACCTTTCTCTATCACTCTAAGATTAGCAACTTGTCTCTGATAACTATATCTGTGCCTAGTGTTCACTTCATTAACCTTTGTAATTGAATGAAAAATTTTAAGTTATGAACTGTTAATGTTATTGCAGCAAATTTATGCTCAGAGGCAAGTGTTAATATGTAACACAACTCGCTTCTCTGAGCACAGTCATAATTCAGTTTAACTACAGTCTGGATCATAAGAGGTAAAGTTGTCTGTACTTAATTTAAGTGCTATGCTATGAGGATGTATGACAGAACTAGATGGAGGTGAGTGGTCTACTACATGTGTCTGCACTTTGCCCCATCGAAAAATTCCCCTGTACCCGTTGTATGGTGGTCTGGATGCCCCTGTTGGCGATCAAATCCAAATTTTCTAGGTTGCCCCACCTATAACCTAATCACTATAGGGATGGCCGAGTTCTACCAGTGCCCAAATCAGGTTATTTACAGACAATTATTGTGGTTCTCATTAGGTCATTCAAATTGATATAACCATGGTGGTTTGTAATATCTTATGGGATGTGACACTCTATACTATAGTAGAAGTTCACTGATAGAGAAGGAGAATTTCACGATTAGCCCAGTATCAGCTGCTCAGAGTATCACCATCTTTGCATTTAGGCTCGACATCCCTTGTTCATGCCAACTTTATTCACACATATGTAATACCAACTAATTGCTTTACTTTATATTACAGTGCAAAACAAAACAAGAGCCATGACTGGGACATTCTTATCTTCACACAGCATTGGCCACTGACAGTATGTCTTCAATGGAAAGAAACACAGGCGCAACATTCATGTATTTTTCCCCCTGTAAAGAATATCTGGACAGTGCATGGAATATGGTAAGAGATTACTTTATTAAAATGTCAGTCTCAACTTTCATCAAAAGATCAATGACTTTGGCCTATATGGTAACATTTTTATCAAGCCCATTTTTTTTTTTTTAGCTGGTACGCATACTAGCGAACATTTTATGCATACTGGCAAATTTGTCAAAAGTCACATGTCTACATTATACATTTTGACTCTGAGTTGGAGGGGAGGACCTGGTTTAATCTATCACTCTGTGACCACAAAGCAGTTCACTATTACGGTACAGTGGATTAATACAGAATGAGAAAATAGGACATTTCACAATTATGAGCAACTTGGGAATTGACTTAAATTAGTAATGAATTCATTAAATTCATACATTTTGAATTGTACTGAGCATGTTAGTCTAGCAGTAAAGTTCTTGAGTTGTGTTCAGGAGGTGGTCAGTTCAATTTTGGGCCAGGACATCAGCCATCCTAAGGTTTTCTGGTTTTCCACAGTCCCTGGGAGAGTACCTCTATCAGGCCCCAATAACTTCCTTTCATTAATCATTAGTCATCCTCCCATTCGCTAGACTAGATAGGAAACAAATGTTTTGAAAATGTGGCACAGTTCAGATATTTAGGAATGATGATAACAAATCAAAACCTGATCTAGGATGAAATTAAGAGACTGAACTCGGGTAATGCTTGCTACAATTCAGTCCTGAACCCTTTGTCTTCTCATCTGCTGTCCAAAAACATAAAAATTAGAATATACAAAACTATAATTTTGCTTGTGGTTCTGTATGGGTGTGAAACTTGGTCTCTGACATTAAGGGAGGAACATAGGCTGAGGGTGTTGAGGAGGATATTTGGATCGAAGAGAGACGAAGTGACAGGAGGTTGGAGAAAACTGCATACTGAGGGGCTTCTTAACATGTACTCTTCTCCAAGTATAATTAGAATGATTAAGTCAAGGAGGATGAGGTGGGCAGGGCATGTAGCATGAATGGGGGAGACGAGGAATGCATATGGGATATTGGTGGGACAGCCAAAAGGAAAGAGACCACTGGGAAGACCAAGGCGTGGGTGGGTGAACAATATTAAAATGGATCTTAAGAGAGATAGGATGGGATGGTATGGACTGGATTGATCTGGCTCAGGATAGGGACCAGTGGAGGGCTCTTGTGAACACGGTAATGAACCTTTGGGTTCTATAAAATGCTGGGAAATTCTTGAGTAGCTGCAGAATTGGCGGCTCCTCAAGAAGGGCTCGGCTCCATGAGTAAGTAAGTAAGATATCCCGACAGCTTCATAAAATAACCAACAAAGAAAAATTCAATTTACCATATTTACGCATGTATAGGCCGCACATTTTTTGCCAAAAATTCAAGAGGAAAACTGGGGTGCGGCTCATATTCAAAATATTCTAAATCACTGCGAACCTAGGGATGTTAAAAGTTGCCAAATTTCGGAATAATTTCTACTCCTGAAATAATATTCCAAGAAAATTATTTTTTCTATAATTTCTGTCTGAAAATTGTGCTGCGGCCTATACATGCGTAAATATGGTATTCTGCATCTCATTTGAGCCAGGAGATTCTAGTTATATTTTTCACTTCATTTTTCTCTAAGCATTTTATAAACCCATGTAATTCTCTAAATATTGAACTACTACTGCAAGTGCATCAGTAATCGAGTATGGCACAACCAGAAGGAATTGCAACAAGGGCGTGTGGGAAGAATGTCTGATATGCTCAAAAAGAGCACTGTAAAATATCAACACAGAAGAAGACACATAATGATCTATAAAGAGGTGTAAATATTCTGCTTTGTGGTACCTGAGATACTTGGAAGAATTACAATGATGAAACATGAAATTTTCAATCGCAAAAATTTCTGGCAATGCTCCACTGAAAGTCAAATTGACATTTCTGAGGAACATATCAGTTGACTTTCAACAGACTACATGGCGTTATATCCCAGAAGAAAAAAACTCTTCATAACCACTGGTGTGAAAACCTCAAATCCTACAAAAAAGTACTTCAATTCAAACACTGATTTTTCAATCTTGAAGTTCAAAAATTTTCAGACACTTGTTTATTATGCCTTGCACAAAAGCAAGCAAATTACCTGATCCATCACAATCATAATGGTTGGTAACAATAGCATGAAATACCTATAAAAATTTTCTACTTTTTTCTGGCCACATTGTACCTCTATTTCTGTATGCAGCATCTGTCTCACATCAAAAGGGACATGTAAACTCCATACTCTATGGGAACATGGGTGTGTCCTGCTCGGCTAGCGAAGTAGACCATTACGTCAGCATTAGGAAGTTACTAGATTCTATTTTCAACGTATTTCTTCTATTCATATGCCACTGGGAAATTCAAACATACATACAATGGAATTTCCTTCCTCAAGGTTACACTGTTTTTTTTTAACAGGTGGACTTTAGAACAGCTTAAAGCATTGCAACAGATTGGCTAGTTATAAACTGTGATTATAGTGACAAAATTGGCCTACTACAGAGAATTCAAATTCTTGTCTCAGTTCTCAAATATTTAAAAAATTCTGACTTTGAGCCTCAAACTGAAATAGCCATTTCATAAATGCTTACTATTTCCAAATAAAATCATTATGGATTGAAAGGATAAAAATTGAAAGAAATTAAACTCTGAAAGCCCCTGAACTAAGCTGCATGAATATTTAAGAAAATTAACAGTTTGATCTATGCAAAATTTTGGAACCTCGTGACTGAGAATCACTTTATTGCCATAAGTTCTAATGCTCAAAAGACTGTCTATATATAAGGTTACCACTGTTAATATAAGTCATACTATATTTTAACAGGCCAACTAAACTGGGGAAATGGGGGCCAGAATATTGCAATGTATCACTGCACTTCAATAAAACTCAACTGGAACCAATAGAGCAAGAGTTAGAACAATACTGGACAGATATTCACAATGGAAGCACATACAAATTATGGAAACATGAATGGACAAAACATGGGACTTGCGCAGCTGCACTGCATGACCTGGATATGGAAAGTAAATATTTTGGTCAAGGTTTGAAATGGATAAACCAGTATCAAATGGCAAATATTTTAGGCATGTCAGGAATTCAACCAAATAATCGTTACACTGCAGAAACTGTTTGGAATGCTGTGCAAAAATGGTTGGGAAAAAATCCTGCAGTTCAGTGCACCGTCGATCCAGTAAGTATAAAAGCTGAAATTTATAACTCTGTTGTGTATTCTCTGGACAGGCACAAAAAAAAAAATGAGTATGTTTGTCTATCTGCCTGTGTCTTGCATTTCTTTCCATATCGTTATGGATTTCGATGAAATCTGCTATTTGTGACTGGTATATACGCTGCTCAACCAAGGAATACAGCTGGGGATTACTGGATTTTTGGGTTTGTCCATCATCCAGTATTCTAAAGAACACGACATTTCTGAAATTGGATCTGTTTCCATTATCAGGTGAGGGGGTAGGAAACACCTACTCCGCAGTGATTGGGTTAGCTCTTTAGACTTAACAAAATAGGTACCTCCCACCCTGTCACCTGAAGGCAGAAACAGATAACAGTTTCCAAAATGTGTTATTTAGAATACTGCATGACTGACAAAGTCCAAAATCCAAGTAATCCCCAATGTTTTACACCATCATCAAAACGTTTAGAATTTACAGGGAATATGGATTTGATTCTCAGGAGAACAAGAGACTTTTTATTCTCCAGTGTTCACAGAGGCTCTTTTACCAGGCATAAAGTGGGCAGAATAAGAAGCTGATCAATCCTCTCAGTCTAGTGTCAAGACTAAGAATTCATGGTGCTATACTGCCATTCCCCCACACATCCTCACAATATGGTGCTTAACTAAGCATAAGGACAACTTCACCAGGCAATTATCCCTTCTTAGATTAGGTCCAAACTGAACATCCATTGTTCTCACGAATGGCTCATCTTAAAAAAAAAAAGCAGTATGAGATAAAAGATAAATGTTGTTACGATTTACAATGTCCCTTTTAAGCATTTTCTTATATACCCAATAATTAATGAGAGACAAGGTAATATACTAGGTGGTTCAAATATGACCGGGACTGATTTTTTTGTAAACAAGCCACACTGCGCAGCAGCTGTGCAACCTTGAGAGATGAAGCTACAACCTCCACCCTCCCTCCTGTTAGGGTTAGAACCTGTTCAGCCCTGTCTGGAAGTTGCTTGAGTAATGAGCAAACAGAAGGTACAGCGGAACGTGGAACAACGCATTGTGATCAAATTCCTCGTTCGAGAAAACGTCCTGTCCGCTGAAATTCACCACAGACTCCAACAACAGTATGGGGAAGAGTGTCTCTCACGGATCCATGTGTTTCAGTGGTGTAAGTGCTTCAGAGAGGGCACAGAGCGCGTGGAGAATGAATCGCGTGATCGTCGACCGCAAACATCCGTCACAAAGCCAAACATTTATCGTGCAGATGCACTTAATCATGAGAATAGGCGCATCACTATCAAGGAACTTGGAGCAATGCTGTCCATCAGTGTTGGTAGTGTAGAAGACATCATGAAATACCACCTGCACTATCGCAAGGTGAATGTACAGTGGGTACCATGCATTTTGACGGATGTGAACAAAATGGTGCGCATGCAAGTTGCCAGTCATCTCCTACAGCAGTTTGAAGACGAAGGTGATGCATTTTTGCATCTATAGTCTATAGTGACCACCAATGAAACATGGGTGCACTACTTCACTCCCGACTCCCAGCAATCATCATGCAAGTGGCGGCATACCAGTTCTCCCAAACCCAAGAGAGCGCGGACGAGCCGTTCGGCATGAAAAGTGATGGCAACGTTCTTCTGGGACTGGCAGGGGGTTATCCATGTAGACTTTCTGACAGATGCCAGAACAGTCAATGCAGCTTATTACGCAGACCTCCTGGCAACAGACGTGAAGGAAAAGATCTGATCCAAGCGGAAGAGAGGTGGAAAGCAGGTAGCCTTCCTTCAAGACAATGCACGCCCCCATACAGCCAAAACAATGGAAACCCTCCGGAAATTTAAATGGAACCTTCTGACACATCCACCGTACAGTCCCGATTTGGCACCAAGTGATTTCTACCTGTTTGGAAGGCTCAAATCAGACTTGCAAGGCATGCGGTTTGTGAACGACGCCGCCGTCATCCAGAATGTTCGGGAGTGGATACACTGCCAACCACAAAACTTTTTTGAAAAGGGCATCAGGATGCTACCAGAATGTTGGAAAAAATGTGTTGACTCCGGAGGAGAGTACATTGAAGACTGACATGTGCAAGTAAGTGTTTGGCAATTCTGGTTTAAAAAAAAAATCAATCCCGGTCATATTTGAACCACCTTGTAATTTCTGACTCTGTGTAATGTGATAAGCTTTGCAACAGCAGATGTTATTAGCTGGTTACTGAACAACGTTGTCAGTAAGAAAAAAGTAAAGCTGTTCCTTTAACCTTTATCGGACGGGCCATTTAATTTCCGGTAGGGGCAGCTGGACGGAGTTTATTTAAATGCCCGCCCATCTAGAGCAATGAAATTGTAAGCATGTTTCTAAAAATGGTGTGATTTCTACATTTTTTATGATAAACGAACGAAATGAACGCTCCTTTAATGTAGAAAGAATATAGAATCAGATATTCTAATTTACAGATTTTAATATCTGTAAAAAATTTTTACACTGATTCCCAAAATAAAATTTCCCGAAATTCATACATTTTCTGCACCATGCGTTCTAGCAGTGTAATACATTTTCTGCACCATGCGTTTTAGCAGTGTAAGTCCTTGTGGCGACTTCACATTCAATCGTATCTCTTGTTGTAGCTTATTTATCGTATGGGACATGTCGCTATGCACGACTGT